AGTATTTTTTTTTTTAAAGTAAGCTCTAGGCCCAATATGGGGCTTGAACTCACGACCCTGAGATCAAGTCGCATGCTCTGTAGACTGAGCCAGCCAGGCATGGGCACCCCCACAGTATGTTTTAAACTTTAATGAATAACATGTACCAAATTTAAAATAAAATAAAATTATGTATGACTTCTTTGCAGATTATTCCAGTGTGATGTGAAAAAAATGAAGGTCCCTTAAAATAATCTCTTCTATATTTAAAGTAATCAATAAAATAATCAATGTCACTAACCTTTATTACTTCAGCTTCAAAGTTGCCTTCCTTTCCAGATTATGACACGTCCTACAGATAAGAATTAAGAATAGCTGAAAAGAATTGCTTATGTTTAAACATGTGGGGAAAAATTGAGGGTTCGATATTCTTCAACACTGCCTTGGCTTTGCTTTCACCAGACCCTCCTTCAATAACCATGCACTTCTTAGCTACAGAGGATGATGATTAAAGGAGATTTATTATCACTTCCAACACTCACACTCACACAGTGTATCAGATTTCAGAAAATCACAACAAATATCCAATTACTGTATTTCTAACAGCCATACTTCACCCTTACCTGGAATATACATCAGACAGGAAAAGACAGGAAGCCTAATGGTTTATGGTGACTTGATTGGTCATTAAAGGAAGCTTCCCTAAAAAACATCTTAAGTTGTCCCTTTGTTTGTCATCCAAGAGGGTTTTATACTCCCTGAAGGGAGATACACCTTTGTGTGTGTGTGTGTGTGTGTGTGTAAAGTGAGAAAAGAACTACCGTAAATGCAGAAATAGGAGATAGGAGATAATGCTAGGAATGAGTACTTATAGAAATAGGGAATCTGTAAATTAATTTACCAAAAGAAATAAGTATCCACCTGCCCCTTGGACTATGCCACACAGTAAGAACCTGAAGATGATGTGAGTTTTAATTCTTGCTGTGTCTAATGGCAAGGAATATTTGCCATAGAGTATGATGAGTAATGAAACTGTGTACAACAGAGGCTTTCCATTTTGCCACCACCTAGAATAAGAAGTATATTTTACATTATGATCCAATACATATATATTGTTTCATGAAACAATAATTACCCAGATTATATGTGATGCACTCTGATATTCCCTATTCTAGTGTCTTTTAAGGCTGCTCACAACATACTAAATTGATTTCACAACCAACTAATGATTTATAGCCCACAATTTTATTTTTTTAAGGATTTTGTTTATTTATTTGACAGACAGAGAGAGAGAAAGCAAGCACGAGCGGGGGGAGGAGCAGAGGGAGGGAGAACCAGGCTCCCCGCTGAGCAGCCCACAATTTTAAAACACTATTGAGCAATAGAAATAGAAATTTATAATGCAATCTCTGATTATACAACAATATCTAATTGTAAGAAATGTACCTAAAGAAACCTTAATTTAAGGGTGCCTGGGTGGCTCAGTCGTTAAGCGGCTGCCTTCAGCTCGGGTCATGATCCCAGGGTCCTGGGATCGAGTCCCACATCGGGCTCCCTGCTCAGCGGGAAGCCTGCTTCTCCTTCTCCCACTCCCCCAGCTTGCGTTCCTGCTCTTGCTGTCTCTGTCTCTGTCAAATAAATAAATAAAATCTTTAAAAAAAAAATGAAAGAAACCTTAATTTGAGGGATGCCTGGATGGCTCAGTTGGTTAAGCGTCTGCCTTCAACTCAGGTCATGATCCCAGGGTCCTGGGATTGAGCCCTGGGTCAGGGTTCCCTGCTCAGTGGGGAGTCTGCTTGTCTCCCTCTCCCTCTGCCCCTACCTCTCCTTGCTCCCTCCTCTCTTAAATAAATCTTAAAAAAAAAAAAAAAGAAGAAGCCTGAACTTGAAAGAACAAGTGGGTAAACCAAAGCCTGCAAGTCAATGTCTAGAAGAGGTTAAATTTTGACCTTGAGATGGAGAGATTATTCTGAATTATCCAAGTGCACCCTAAATGCAATTACCTGTATCCCCATCAGAGGGAGGCATTAGGAGTTCTGACACACATAGAGGAGACAGTGATGTGAAGAGGAGGCAGAGAGATATTTGAAGATGCTGGCCTTGAAGATTGGAGTGATGTGGTCAAAAGTCAATGAATGCCAGTAACCACCAGAAGTTGGGAGAGTCAAAGAACCGATTCTACCCTAGAGCCTCTGGACGGAGTGTGCCCTGTCAACACTTTGATTTTGGCCCAGTGACACTGCCTTTGGATTTCTGGCCTCCAGAATCATGAGAGAATAAAGTTCTGATGTTTTAAGCCACCAAGTTTGTGGTATGTCGTTACAGCAGGCTCAGGAAATTAATAGGAACTCCATAAGCTTGACTTAATGAGAGTCATATTGCAAAGTACCCAGAGTGTTACCAAAACCCAAGTTCAGGTAACTGTGGCTCGAAAAGCTAATATTCAAGAGATGAGTTTTAATTGGAAAGGAATATGAACTTTATTCAGGAGGCCGGCAACCTAGAGGAAGGCAGACTCTTGCCCAAAGGCCAACTCCGAGGCTTCTGCTAGCCCAAGGATTTTTAAAGGGGTTTAGGGCAGTTAATCAGTAAAGGGAGTGCAGTGGTCTGTAACATTTCTTGATTACTGTGCAGACTTAATGGTACCAGCTACAGACATTTTCACAGTGCTCAAAGATTGTGCAAGTGAGTCTGGTTCCTTACTGCAGGGCATTGGGGTTGGGGGGATGTGCAAGAGGGTCTGGTTTCCGTTTTGAGACATGCAGAAAGGCTCTATTCTTTTCTAGGAAAGAATGCATGATCTTAGATATACAAAAAAAGGTTCAGTTAATCACATGGGCTATGGGTGGTTGCTAAAGTTTCAAGAATATTAGGTTGGCATCAAAAACTAATGATGTATGGTGATTAACATAATAAAAAATTAAAAAAAAGAATATTAGGTAGGTTGGAAGGACAAAGGCAGCTTCAAGAGTGGCCACTTAAAACTCTTTATACCTTTGTATGTTTCAAGAGTTATGGTAGCTTATAGAGAGATTCACAAAACATATTAATAACACAAATCATAGGTGAAAAGGGAAAAATCAAAAATAGATATAAAAATGGAGGCAACAACAAGGTTTATGCAAGTATACATATAATACTTGTTGCCATGGGTCCACTGCAAATTTGGCTTTAAACTTTCTAACAGCCCAACATGCAAAGGGAGCCTCCTTGTTTACATGATTCAGTGACTATTAGATAAACACAGCCAACTACACAATAACACAAAAGACAAGGTAGAATTTCTACTCAGAATGTTCTTTTTGGACTGAACTATGCAAAAAAGGATGAGGTATACTCATTACACTGTGTGTAAATGTAACTGCAGTAAACTCACACCAGACCAAGTTTAGAATACTACTTACTGTATCATAGACTGATAACATGTTGAAACAACTTGATAAAAGCAAATTCCACAGCATAGATTAATAAGATGTTACTAAAAAACAAAATTAAAAAAAAAATTCAACTGAATAAACCTGAAGATCCAGTAGGCTTTATTAAGCAATTTATGAATGGAGCAGCATCCCATTTAGCAAGTAGTAAGGAGCTCTGAGGAGCTGTACAAAATGGTAGTAGGGTGGGGCAAGAAAATTACTAGCAAAATAAAGGAAAGAATTGTCTCAAGCCAGGACATTTTTTGTGGGTGGCGTAGGAAAGCAAGGTTTTTTGTTTTGGGGGGTTTTTTTTTATGCTTTACTTACTTACTAAAAAGTTGTACTTTTATAGGAAACTAGAGGAGAAAATGAAAAAGCCAAAGAAATTATATACAAAGAAATTACATATAAGGAACCTATAGGAGTAGCCTCTATACCCTACTGTTGGCCAGTTCAAAACACCGCAAGGGCTTCAGGTTATAATGTATCAGGTAAGACCTCCCCCTCCGACCTCTGATAGCCTCCAGAAGTGTGGTAAGATATTCATTATCACCTGAAACCACGTGTCAGCTTTCAAAGCTATGAACTCCTTTATGTCAGCTTTCACTATAAAATAATGACCTTTGGGGGTGCCTGGGTGGCTCAGTCAGTTGGGCATCTGCCTTCGGCTCAGATCATGATCCCAGGATCCTGGGATCGAGCCCTGCATTGGGGCTTTTTTCTTTTTCCCTTTTTAAAAAAATGTCAAAAAATAACACAATTCTATAGGAGGGAAGAGAGTGTCAATAGAATACCCTCTGGGTATATGGTTTGCTGCTGATGTGCCTTATTTCCAGGGTACATTTTAGAGTATTTATGAAAGTCCTTGGATAATGCTCAGAAAATGTTTTCATCCCTACTATCAGTCAATAAATGCTTCATACAATGCCTATGAGATGTGGCGAGCTTGAGAGCCCATTTAGTATGGAGGGATATACTTACAGTATTTCTACTGTCTGCCAAGCAGTATCTAGGTCACTACTGAGGAGTCAGATAAAAATCCCATCCCTAATCCCTGAAGAAGCTTCCGGGCCACCAGGGGAGATACACAGGCAGCTCCAATTGGCGCCCTAATCCAGCAAAGGGGTATCAAGAATGGCCTCCTACAGATGATACTACTCGACCAGTAGAGGAAGAGTGGATAAATGCAAAGAGAGGGAAAATGGCATCCCAGAGGGGCCAGAAGACGTTTCAGGCCCCAGTCAAGCAATGCCCTTGGAGCACGTCAAGGCCTCGGCTGGATGAAAAGAGAATGAAAACACACAGAAAGCAGAAGGAACAGAAAAAATAAAGTGCATTTCATCCTCCACTACGCGGCACGCGCCCAACCATTGTTTGGAGGGCAGCTCTGTAGGCATTTTCCAACAAAATAAATTTAGCGAACGCTGCAAGACCTTCCACTAAAGCCAATCTTTCTCCCTAACCCACCGCCTCCACTCCGCAGACAAGACTCTCTACCCTCACTGCGCAGGTGCCAGGTATGACCTTTGAGACCGCCAAGAGAGAGGCTAGTAGTTCCGGGTTCACTAGGGCTCCCCTCTAGCCGCGAGCTTCCGTTTCTCCACTGCTCTCCGTTGCAGATTCCCGCGGGAGCTTGGAGCCCGGCCTGGGGCGGGCCTTCCGGGAGACGAGCGCTCGGGAGAGGAAGGTCGCGAGTAGGTAAGATTGTTCCGGGGCTTTGCGGGGGTCTGTAGTGAGATTCGGGCGGTGGTTAGAGAGGTCCTGCGAGGGTTTCCAACCTTCTCCAGTCGCCAAAAGTAAGATGAGTCGATTTCATTATTAACTAGCTCGGAGGTTTCACACCATCCTACAAACAAGTTGGCCTTTTCCTGCGTAAATTGGGGAATTTACCAAACGAAGGACGCTAGCGTAGTTTCCTCTCCGGCGCAGTTACTCTCTTCCTGATTAGGTCGCGTGCTAGCCTCAGTTTCTCAGCTCATCAGACAGCATTTCTGCACCGTAGCTTTGTGTGGGGGGATGCAGATTCTGCCATTTGAAAGAAAAATATATGCGGGTGCTGTCTGGCTCAGTGGGTAGAGTGTGCGACTCGACCTTGGCGTCTTGGAGCCGCACCTTGGGTGTAGAAATTATAAAATAAACTAAAAAAAAAAAAAATTCCCCCCCCCCGAAATATCCTACCGATGCAAGCCTCGGTTGACTTGATACCTGCTTCCATCACAGGCAAGTGTGATCCAGTCAGTTGCAGGGGATTGGAGGCGTTTTTGTTGAACTAATAAAGCGGACATAACGTTCAGAGCCAGTCACGTCTCTACGACCCAGTGAAACAACTGGTACCAGACTTTAAAAATAAAGCATCGTGTTTAGATTGTTTTTTTGTGAAATACGTGTGCAGAACGGGTTTCCTGAGGCCTGATGATTATTAGGGCACCCCACTGTGCCGTGAGTTTTGCCTGTCAGCCTCAACGCAGTGAGGTTGTGTAACTGTTCTGAGGTCGTAGATCAGAAAACCGGGGCAAAGAATGCCAACTACTGCAAACATGACATGGCCATCAAAACGCCGAGGCAAGATTCCAGAGCTGGTGCTCTCCACCAACCAGAGGTTTCTTGAGAAACTGGAGAAAGCTCCCCCAGCGGAATTTGCACACGGGGGCGCGCGCGCACACACATTTCGGCATACCAAGGGAATTCGCCACGCTAAGGGAAAGCCAGGTTAAGAACTCCTGCACATCAGTCGGCCCTTTTCAAAGAAAAAAAGCAAAACTAATCCAAAGCCAGTTATTGAAAACCTGACCTTCTAAATGCATCAAACCTATTAGAAAGATCAAAGAAACTTGCCCTTTTATCCTAAAGTAAAAATATGGGAATTTTCTTGTGCGGGCTTAACATGTCTTGCTCCAGCACATTTGAAAATATGTATGTATATAATTTTTTATTTATTTTTGATTAGCATTTTCCACTCCAGTTAATTATTCCTCATGGTACTGTTTTCTTTAGATCACCTTTAAGGAAAAATGACGTTTTTAGGTGACTATTTTGTACAAAAAAAATCTAATTGACATGTAAGTTTTTTGCCTTTTACTTTAATGTCTTTAACATAATATTTCTTTTATTTTTTAAGATAAAATTGAAAGATTTTGTAAGGCATACTAGGGTCCTGAAAAATCCTAAGTAAGGCTTTCCAATTAAAAAAATTAAGGTAGTATGGGAGCCTGGGTGGCTCAGTTGTTAAGCGACTGCCTTCGGCTCAGGTCATGATCCTGGAGTCCCGGGATCGAGTCCCACATCGGGCTCCCTGCTCAACAGGGAGTCTGCTTCTCCCTCTGACCCTCCTCTCTCTCATGCTCTCTGTCTCTCATTCTCTCTCTCTCAAATAAATAAAATCTTAAAAAAATATATAAAAAAAAAAAATTAAGGTAGTAAAAAATGACAATCTGCCGGTCTTAGGACCGGTATTTATGGACAACAGAACTGTTTAGCTGTTTTAGTCTATGTTAAAAAAAAAAGTATACCAAGCTTCTATGCCATTCTTCACCAGAGGCATATGTCTGGTCTCTGGAAGGAGACTACAAAGCAGTAATTGATAATTGTTAAAATCATTTTCAGTTTTCTTTTTTTTTTTAAGATTTTATTTATTCATTTGAGACACAGAGATACAAAGAGAGAGCAAGCACGAGCAGAGGTAGAGGGAGAAGCAGGCTGCCTGCTGAGCCAGGAGCCAGATGTGGGGCTCAATCTGAGCACTCTGGGATCATGACCTGAGCCCAAGGCAGATGCTTAACTGACTGAGCCACCCAGGTGCCCCTTCAGTTTTCTTCTGTTTAGCAAATGGATCTTTGTTTCTAGTAAGGGATTCAGTTTTGAAGAGGCTTATTCCCTTTCTTCATCATAGAAGTTTGGGGACTTGGATTTTGTGGTATAGCCATGTCCCAGTGGATTCTAATGAGACTTCATTACTTACCATTTATGTGTCCCAGTAATTTGCTACATTCCAAAGTGGGCCTGGAGATAACAGCATCCTGTGATGGCTTCAGTGACCACTCTCCTAAGGAGTCCCTTCCTCCTTGCTGCCTGTCAAGTTACCAAGCTGCTGGTCCCCTCCCCTGTGTTTCTCTGGCTGTCAGTTTTTATAAGTGAGGATGTCATTCCAGGGAGGTATAGGTTTAACTGCATGGAGTATGTATCTCCTTTGCATGATTAAATGAGGACAAGGAATAGGGGTGCCTGGCTGGCACGGTCGGTGGAACATGCAGCTCTTGATCTCAGGGTTATGAGTTTAAGCCCTGTGTCAGGTGCAGAGATTACTTAAAAATAAAATGGTAAAAAAACGGGCACCTGGGTGGCTCAGTCAGTTAAGTGTCTGACTTTGGCACAGGGTCATGATCTCAGGGTCCTAGGATAGAGCCCCATGTCGGGCTCCCCACTCAGCAGGGAGTCTGCTTGTCCCTCTCCCTCTGCCCCTCCCCCCTGCTCATGCTCTCTTTCTCAAATAAATAAAATCTTTTAAAAATAAAAAATAAAGACAAGCAATAACTGTGTCCAGCTAGATCATATGAGCACCAAACTTTAAAACATGTTTAGGTTTTTTCTTTTTTTTTTAAGTTACCATTTACTGAGTGCCACAGCTTTAACTTATTTCTCACAGTAGTCCTGTAAGCTTTGTTTTCCAAAAAGGAAACTCAGATTTAGAAAATAAGTGACTTTAACCCAGCTAATAAATGGCAGAGCCAGGATGCAAACCTAGGCCTCAGGACTCCATGCTGCCTCTTCATTTAAAAATAAAGTGATGAATTTGGAACATATTTGAGAACATTGTAACAAAACAATAGTTCCCTGGCCACCAAATAACTGACTGTGGAAATACTGTGCACTTGCACCAGAAATTAGTTGGGATTCCATTTTAGCAATTAAGCAAAACAAAGCAAAGTTGATTAAGAAACCGTTTGTTTTTTTTTTTATCTGATGTATGGAAAAAAGATAATTCAACTGAAGGAAGAGAAAAGGTAAAGCATGCAAAGAAACTGGAGCCTCTGAAGGCAACTCGTGGGCATTTGCAAGGCCTTTAGAGGTTTATAGCACTGATTTGTTACTATTTCCTATTTGTACATTAAACTGTTAATGCCTTTCTTTTCTCATTGATGAAAATATAACCCTACCCCTAACAACCCAACCCAACCCATTCCTATCCACACAATGGAGCAAGAGTTGAGAGAGAAGCAAATCTGAGAACGGGAGTGCTGAAAGGAAAAGGAAGAAGAAGGTTTGCAGGTGATTCCCAGGTTGGAGGGGCAGGGAAGAGACCCTGGATCCGACAGTTCTCCCATTGCTGGCCTTCAGATGGCACTATTGGCCCATTTGGTGGGTGTTGAGCTTGGTAAATGGTTTGAGATTGGCATTCTGCAATTGGTTTGAGGTCAGCCTCTACTCTTTCAATGAATCTCGATTTGGACATGAAAAATTCCTTAATTTAAATACAGGTTTTGGGTTTCTTTTTACTTGCAAGAGTTATTTTGAAATTTGGCCCCATTCTTGTTTAGGAGGATTTTTTTTTTTTTTAAGATTTACTTATTTAAGTAAACTCTGTGCCCAACATGGGGCTTGAACTCATGACCCCGACCAAGATCAAGAGTCTTGTGCTCTACTGACTGCACCAGCCAGGTGCCCTAGGATGGTTGGGTTTTTCTGGTTTGGTTTTTTTTTTTTCCTCCCATTGTTTTTTCAAGGTAAGTTTATACCTTTTTTCTATTTAGATATCAACTCTTTTTCGTCTCCACTGAACTGTCCCCCAGGACAGTCTCTTAGCAAAGATTCTCATCTCACTACAAAATTTCACATAAACTAGTAGATTCTGCTAGCATTAACCTCTACATCTGGTCTGGAGTGGAATGAGACAGTTATTCCATCAGCAGCATTCTTGATTTTTCTGTATCGCCTATATAATTTTTGATGTATTTTAGCTGTAATTTCTGCATATTACAGATATCATTCTTAGACCTATTTCAACATTCTGTGCTTGTGCCTCTAAAGAAAAAGTTACTGTTTTCAGCTAATAAGAACTTAGTATTCATTAAAGCAGAATATATAAGATGGAAGATAAGACAGAGAACCTTATAACCCATAAATCCTTTTATTCAGGAATAAAAGGAATCTTAAGAGCTGTTGAGTTTATTTCTATAAGACTACTATCTCTGTTTTGTTTTTCCCAAATGGCTCTCAGTCTCTAGGCAGAATTCAGTCCAGCAACCTAGAGGCTAAATGACCTCATAACTCATTAGCAGTTCTCAGAGCCATCTGGAGCCCTTGAGGAGAACAGTGTTCAAAGGGCTGATAATAAAGACAACAGGATAATTATTTCTCTGTCATGATTAAACCTTCAGATGGCAAGCAGTCAGCATTTTTATTCTACAGATTGCTGAGGTGGGTGTTTTCTGAAGGTATAATAATGCTGTGGTTGGATAACTCATTTGTCTGTCCTCATCTAGCCTACAAATAGGTAAACTGACTATCAGTAAATAACAAAATGGTTCACTGTAAAAAGGGCAGTACAGCAAGATAGTAGTATGGGAACATCAAATGTAGAAATTAGAAATGTAAAGCAAGCAAAGGAAACCATTTGGACTGTGGATATTTCTCAACTCCAAGGCATGTCCTGCCAGCCACATGACTGATCCACATGTGGCTTGCTGTTTTTATTTTCTAAAGTGTTCTTTAGATAATCATGGAATTTCATACACTAACCTGTTTATCTTCTCATTTTCTATAGGGACTCTTGCTCCTTCCTGCTCAAGAAATGTCTTCACTTTCAGAATATGCCTTGCGCATGACTCGTCTGAGTGCCCGGCTGTTCGGTGAAGTGGCCAGGCCTACTGATTCCAAATCCATGAAAGTGGTGAAACTGTTCAGTGAGCAGCCTCTGGCCAAGAGGAAGGAGACTTACGACTGGTATCCAAATCACAATACTTATTTTGCGCTCATGGGGACTCTACGTTTTCTTGGCCTCTATAGGTAATGGCAAAAAACAGAGAGTAACCTGTTAAGAGATTTTTCTAGTAGATCAGAAAAGGAAAAAGTTAGGCTTTTTATCTTTAACAGTTTTGTGGTTCTTATAATAGTGCCCAGATGGCTCAAAAAGCATAGTTTTAGGGGGAAAGGCTTTTAAAATACTCATAATGGGCACACTGAAAGAAACAAAAAAGGAAACCACGTATTGGAAGACATATTTTAATTGTGTCTAAAACTGGACTAACATTGACAAGATACTGAGCTACAGATATGTTTAATTATTTATTAATTTAAGAGCACTCTAAAGGATGCAGAGGAAAACTGATCCAAATGCTGCAGAGGAAAACCTCTCCCCACCCCCAGCTCCCTCCAGCCAACCCCTACAGGCTGCCAGAGCAGCAGGTTCTCATTGATCAGATGAAGAGAGTCCCTGCCCCAAAGCCAATCTCCTTCCCAGCTAGTTTACAGGAGCCTCCTTTCTTTCCTAGTGGCGGTTTTGTTGGAGTTCTTATTTCCTTCAACCTTTTTCTGGCATTTTTAGTTTGTGCCCTTTTTGATACGTAACTTTGGTCTAAATAAGTTGTAATTCACCTTTAAGAGTAATATGCGAGGGCACCTCAGTAGCTCAATCAGTTGAGTACCCGGCTCTTGACCTCAACTCAGGTCTTGATCTCAGGGTCGTGAATTCAAGCCCCGTATTGGGCTCCACGCTGGGTGTGGAGCCTACTTAAAAGAAAAAAGAGTAATATGTAGGGCGCCTGGGTGGCTCAGTTGGTTAAGCAACTGCCTTCGGCTCAGGTCATGATCCTGGAGTCCCGGGATCAAGTCCCGCATCGGGCTCCCTGCTCAGCAGGGAGTCTGCTTCTCCCTCTAACCCTCCCTCCTCTCATGTGCTCTCTCTCTCTCTCTCATTCTCTCTCTCAAATAAATAAATAAAATCTTTAAAAAAAAAAAAAAGAGTAATATGTAGATCGCACAGGCTCTTACCACCATGTGTTGTATGTTTGTGTATGTAAAGGAAATGGGTGCTCAGGACTTTGTATTGCTCTAGAAAGAGAAAAGATCAAATACCTGTGTGATCATTTTCTTTAAAAGAAAGTCTTAAATTACCAAACTGATACATGATAATTATAAAAGAATTCAAACAGTGCGTAATTGTGTAAAGTTAAATCTACTTTTTGGGTGCCCAGCTGCCTCAGTGACTCTTGATCTCAGGGTTGTCAGTTTGAGCCCTATGTTGGGTGTAGAAGTTACTTAAAAATAAAATCTTTTAAAAATAAATCTACTTTTTAAGAAAATTTAACGTGTTTAATTGGACTTGTCTTAGGACAATAATACAGAAGTTAATTTGGGACTATTCACTCTAATATAGTAAAATTAATAGTACATTCCAGCGCCTGGGTGGCTCAGTTGGTTAAGCGACTGCCTTCGGCTCAGGTCATGATCCTGGAGTCCCGGGATCGAGTCCCACATTGGGCTCCCTGCTGATCAGGGAGTCTGCTTCTCCCTCTGAACCTCTTCCCTCTCATGCTCTCTCTCTCTCATTCTCTCTCTCTCAAATAAATAAATAAAATCTTTAAAAAATAAAAAGTAAAAAAAAATAAAAGCTGGTACATTCATCCATCCAGTGGGTGTATTTTTAAGTACCTTCCATGCACAGACACTTAAGACGGGCACCAGGGGAACAGCAGTGAGCAAAATAGATTTTCTTAGTTAATATATTATAATAGAGATTATAATCCATGACATATTTTGAATTTCTGGAATTGCTCTGGGGCATTCTCCCTTGCTATTAGTCTGAGCTCAGACAATAAAAATTAATTTTATTATGACCCAAAATAAAATATCATTGGAAGGCAGATCTCCTGAGTAGAAAACTATAACCCATAACAAAATCATATTCAGCTATTTTAATTTACCTGTTTGGTGCCACTCTCCATTTGTTTGAAAAATAAAACCTTGACTGTCTTTGGGGACGGGGAGAAAATACTTAGCATTTAGTTATCCATGGAAAAGCACAATGATTTTCATGTATTTAGTCACTAGTTACGGTAAATGGTGCCTCTAATGGAAAGCCTCCTGTGGCATCAGGCAGGATGAAACTAGACAATCTTCAGTAAAGAAAATTTTACTCAAAGACCTGCAAATGAGGGAGGAAGGCACAGGTTCTCCCAAACACCGACTCATTCAGTCACTCAGGCACACAGGTGCTTGGGCTATATCATCAGAGACAAAGACCCCTGGCTTTGGAGCTTTCCTTCTGGCTGAGGGTTGATGGGAATGGAGAAGGGAAGGAAGAAGAGGAGAACAAACATACAGGATGAGTAAAAGATGTGGTATGCTATAAAGTTGAGTGTGCTGTGGGGAAAAAATAGTAAAGCTGCCTGAGCAGGATGAAGAATATAGGGCACGTGGTGGGCGGGGAGAGGACGGGTCACAGTATTAAACAGAATGGTCAAGGTCAGCGTCTTTGAGAAGATGAGGTCTTAGCAGAGACTTGAAGGTAGTGAGTGGGACAAGGATCTGGGGAAGAACTGCTGAGGCAGAGGCAAGAGCAGAGCAAAGGCCCTGAGGTGGGAGTTCTCTTGGCGTGTTCCAGGAGTAGCACAGGCGACCGAGAGAGTGGTAGGGCCCCAGGCAGAGGGCCCCAGGCAGATCATGAAGGGCTCTGAGGGCCAGGACAAGGTCTTGGCTTTTGCTCTGGGTAAAGTGGGGAACCATCTGTAGGCCTGTGAACAGAGGAGCAACATGATCTCGCTTATAGTTTAGAAGAATTACTCTGGCTGCTCTGTTGAGAATAGATGATTTGGGGACAAAAATACCTACTTCTGAAGAGGTCAGCTGTATCCATCATGTTCATGGAATGGAACAGTGTACCCTACAAAACCAGTCTATTTTAAAACTACCTGAGAAGTTAACAGTTGGGCCCAGCACAACCCCCTCTTATATTTAATTTGTATGCCATTATTATCCACACTTGACAGGTAAGGAAACTAAGATACAGAGAGGGAGGGGCGCCTGGGTGGCTCAGTTGGTTAAGCCACTGCCTTCAGCTCAGGTCATGATCCTGGAGTCCCGGGATCGAGTCCCGCATCGGGCTCCCTGCTCAGCGGGGAGCCTGCTTCTCTCTCTGACCCTCCCCCCTCCATGCTCTCTCTCTCTCTATCTCATTCTCTCTCTCTCAAATAAATAAATAAAATCTTAAAAAAAAAAAAAAAAAACCCAGAGAGGGAAAATGACTTATCCAAGGTCACACGGCTACTAAGTGGTAGACGAGCTGTGATTTGAACCCAGGTTGAAATGGGCTCCAAACCTTACATATTTAAATGCGATACTGTTATAGGTATTTAATCTTAGAATGCAATCATTTCTCTAGAGTACAGGCAGTCTTCAGCTTACACCCCATCCATATGTACAAACAGCCCGGGCTGCCTTGATCTCTAGAGTACCTGTCTGTTGATTTGGCTTCCTTCTACCTGAGCCTTTCCCCAGCAGCCTTTTTGTGTGGATTATCCACGGCCATTAAGGCAGCTTCCTTCAGTCCTCTTCCCCTCATAGTAGGTGCTAATTCCTGGGACTCTCAGGGTCTCTGTGTAGCTCTTCAAGCTTAGACCCACTTTCTGTTTCCCTATGTTCAGTGTTAGCATTCTAGGGAAATTTGGGGTAATTATCAGCATTGTATCATTGTTGCTTCGGTTTATAGGGGCCGGCCTGGGAATTTTAGTCGCTTGTGGCATTGTTTCTGTGAGGGGACACTGTGACTTAGAAATGAACTTTTGGAACACAACCCATGTGTATGTTGGGGACTCTCTGTCCTCTCTGTTCACCAAGCTGAGCATGTGCCCTGAGAAGTCAGGGACTGATAACCGGAGCAGCCTGAGGGAAGAGTGCTAGAATGGTGTGCTGTTCCCATCAGGTAAAAATACAGGCTAATTATTTTTTCTTTCTCCACTCAGAGACGAGCACCAGGACTTCAGGGATGAGCAGTTGCGTCTAAAGAAGCTTCGTGGCAAGGGGAAACCAAAGAAAGGAGAAGGGAAAAGAGCAGCAAAAAAGAAATAGTGTTGGTCCATCAGGAGAACAAAGTTCTTTCTCAGCAACTGACAGCAGAAGAAGGTGTATTTACTTTCCACATATTCAAGGAATGTAAGCTTCCGAAATTGAAGATTATTTGGAGGAACACAATCATTTCTGTGTTGAAGTCCAATCCAGTTGAATTGTGACTGGTTTCCTGGACACAGTCTAATTCTGCAAAGTTATTTTGGCCTTGGTTTCATACTCTGATGTTTACCTCTTTCTCTAAAGAAATGAATGCATAGGTGATTGAAGAATGACTCATTTGGTATGGGAATGGGATGTTGGGGACATGGGGAACTTAAATGAGCATCCTTTAGTCTCCCCAGGATCCCTTCTTGCTTCCCCACTACACCAGCCCTGAACTCTTCCATCCATCTGGCTGTTCAAACACTGTCTCCACCACCAAGCTTACAAACTTCATGTACCTCTCCACATACTCTTGGAGAGTATCTACTAAGATAGATTTTTGGGAAAAGTATCTACCTGTTAAGAGAGTACTGAGTGAGTACCTGCTGGGCCCTAATAATATCATGGTTAGCAAGAGAAAACAGTCCCTACCTCATGGAACTTTCAGGCTTGTGGGAAAGACTAATATCATTACATAAGTAAAATTGTATTAAATGCTACAAAGGAAAAGTCCAGACTTCTGCAAGAGTGTGGATCAATCAATGGCTCGGTCCAGAGATAGCAAGAGACCCAAACCTCAAGGAGTTTAAAGAAGGCCTCCCTAAAGAGATGGCATTTAAGCTGAGCTCTGCAGGATGAGTAAGAGAAGAGGGGGCGCCTGGCTGGCTCAGTCAGTAAAGCATGTGACTCTTGGTCTCGGGGTTATGAGTTCAAGCCCTACACATGGTGTAGAGTTTGCTTAAAATTAAGGTGTGCCTGGCTGGCTCAGTCAGTAGGGCACGTGACTTGATCTTGGGGTTGTGAGTTCAAGCCCCACGTTGAGCATAGAGCTTAAAAAAATAACACAAAATCATTGGGGCGCCTGTTTGGCTCAGTTGGAGGAGCATGTGACTCTTGATCTCAGGGTTGTGAGTTCAAGCCCTACACTGGGTATAGAAATTACTTAAAAATAAGAAAAATCTTAATAATTAAAAGTTTTTTTTTTAAAGATAAAAATGATGGGGAAAGTGTGAAGCGCAAGAAAGCATCCTGTTCGAGGAATGGAAAAAAGAGCACTGACTGTATGGGTTTCACCCAGAAACAGAAGCCAGACCATGAAAATCTTTCCAAGTTCTTTTTTTTGTTTGTTTGTTTTTTAAGATTTTATGTATTTAAGAAAGCGTGCATGTGCAGCAGAGAGATAGGGACAAGCAGACTCCATGCTGAGCACAGAGTCCGATGCGGGGCTCGAGGTGGGGCTTAGTCCCACAACCCTGAGATCATGACCTGAGCTGATATCAAGAGTCAGATGCTTAACTGACTATGCCACCCAGGTGCCCCAGGGCTTTGCAATTTCTGTGAAAAAACTTGGACTTAACCAACTTAGCCAGTGTGTGAAGTGTTATTTCTTTGAGAGAGGACTCTTGCATACACACAAATAGCTGGCTGCTCATTTAAGTGTATTCTAACAGTGAGTTTCCAATGAGGTTGTGAGGACTTCTCTGATTTTTTTTTTTCAAGTTCCAAAAATCTAGCACTGTCTAGTAAATTTTTTAAAGTACTTTTTTTCTGTTGTAAAATTTACCATCTTAACCACCTTTAAGCATATAGTACAGTAGTGTTAACTGTACGCACATTGTCCTGCTAAAGTAGTTTTTAACCCCATTTTTCCCTCTCAGGAAAAGAGCAAGGTGCACAGGCAAGAGGATATATAGCAGCTCCTGAAGCTATGATTTCCTTTCCCTGCAACATTAGAAGTACTGGCAATAATTGCCCTGCAAATAATTCCTGAATTAATAAGAATCCCATTACATATGTTTTGATAAATTGTATTTTTAAAGATACATGATCCAGATGGTAGGGCTAGGGCCCATATTATAGTCTTAAAAACTACTTAAAAATGGGCAATTTGTGTCTGATAGATGTAACTTGAGCAGGGGACCAAGAATCCATTCATTTAGAATTTTTTCCTGAGCGCTTGCCTCATGCTAGTTGTAGAGAACACAAATAGGCTGAGTTCCCCAAGATTGTGTGAAGGACGGTTGTGTGTTGTAAGGCATTGGCAAGATCTCAGGGATTTGCTCAGAAGAGTGCACACTTTCTGTTACTCTTGGCCAGTGCAGCTGAGCCAGGTGGGTGGATGATGAAACCAGGATGTCGGGCTGAGAAACAGGCTCTCAGCCTGAACACAGTGTAGAACAACCCAGTGGATGTTCTGAATTACACCATCTCCAACTTGTGGAGAAGGCCTGAATGTGAGAGGAGCTTCAAAGAATTAGCATGATATTTTAAAGAGAAACTGCATCAGGTACCAATAGCTGACCTGGTCAGAAAACAAAGAATCCGTGTGTTGGTTTGCGGACGGCCACTGAACCTGCAAGGAGCCTTAGCCCTGGTTGATAGGGAAGTTTGTGGACAAATGAGCAGTAGATTAGCATGCCACTGCTGAAAATCAGAGACTCCCAACTAAAATTTATTTGTATATAAGCTGCACCCTGAAACCCATCTGACACAGCAAATGCTACCTAACTTAAAGCAGCCTGGACCAAACATGGTGGACCAGATGGAACATGGAGGATAAGAGGGAGGGGCACTTCTTGATGCCACAAAAGCAACTCGTGTCAGGACACCAGCAACTGACGTTTAAGACGAGGACTCCGTGCAGTCAGAACTTGAACTGCAGGTGTAGGCTAGCCAGATGTTTAACTGGACTTTTTTCTGGTCAAGACCAAAACTATTTGTATTTTCCTTCAAATGTTTGGGGTGCATGGGAGATTTTGCCCTCAATTTCGATGTGGCACAGTAAAACAGACTGGATTTGGGATTTCAAAGTCACGGATTGGGATGCAGTTCTACTTACTGGCTTTGTGACCTTCAGTCACTTATCTTCACTGAGCCTCCTTCCATCTCTGTAAAATCATAGTAACCCTTCACTAGAGTCATGAAATATTAAGATTTCTGAAAAGTACCATGTGAATTGTAAAAGATTAATCAAATGTTTTCACGTACAGTTATTTGTGTGACGAGTTAAGAATTACTACATCTTACTGATTCTTCCGAGTTGACAGTGTTGACAAATACATGCTAAAAATATATAATTCTCTACTTTTACATGCAACACGGCAGGTTCAGGAAGTAGTAGGTGGGAGATGCATTTTATTATTTACGTAATCCTGAGTTCCAGAAACTCACTTTTTAAAAAGCAGTCATGTCTATGTGTGTACATATATCTAAATATGTATGAGCATATAAACATAATGCTTTTACTTGTAAAGCACTTTCTGGAAAAGAATAAGTCAAAAATTCCACCTTTCACCCTTTCCTTTTTTCCTCACACATTTCCCCCAAAGCTTCTAAGTGCCTAATTTTAGAGATTTAGAGGCAGGAACAAACTTCAAAGGAAATAGAGGGAAATGTCTTTTAAACTGCCAACTCTGTCTTCACAGTCCTTTTTCTTAAGTACTTATTTATAAGTTCAAAAGAAAGCATTTCTTTAAAAAAAAAATCAAACAGTAAAACATTCAAGAAGACTTAGTAAAACAGGGAAACAAACCGTAAAGCACGGGGTATTAAGAACTAGAAAACCAGTAAAACATTTATGCTGAACTTAAAACTGAAATGTTTCTTAAATGACAGGAAGGCAGGAAAAGAGGAGGACCATGAAACTAGGGGAAGGACTGGCCACAGAAACCACCCAGATGCAGTTTTCCCACTTAATTGGAGGTCTGGCAATATTATAAGTTCATGTGAAAGTAGAAACCAGAACCAAACCAATGTAGAGCCTAAGACCTTTTTCATTCTACTTAAACGTGCTTTCTGAGACAGGATAAGATTCATTGATGGAGACCTTTGTGGGTCTATTACAGAAAACAGGAGCTCCTTATTGACCATCTAAATTGGTGCTTAGTCCAAAATATCTTCCCAGAAGAGCCACAACACGAACTGACCTATTGAGTTTAGCATAAAAACAGCATTCTTAACAAATCATAAAGTCTTAGGACACAGGTAAAATCTAAAAGTCTGAGTGTATCTAGTATGAGAACAGACCAGTGTATTAAGCACCAAACAAACATAAATTCTTTTTTTTTAAAGATTTTATTTTATTTGAGAGAGAGAATGAGAGAGAGCACATGAGGGGGGAGGGATCAGAGGGAGAAGCAGACTCCCTGCTGAGCAGGGAGCCCGATGCAGGACTCGATCCTGGAAATCCAGGATCATGACCTGAGCTGAAGGCAGTCGCTTAACCAGCTGAGCCACCCAGGCGCCCACAAATATAAATTCTTACTTAATAAAGAGAAGAGTGCAGTGGAATCATCAGGAATGACTTTACAGGGCGCCTGGGTGGCTCAGTCATTGAGGGTCTGCCTTTGGCTCAGGTCATGATCCCAGGGTCCTGGAATCGAGCCCCACATCGGGCTTCCTGCTCAGCGGGAAGCCTGCTTCTCCCTTTCCCACTCCCCCTGCTTGTGTTCCCTCTCTCACTGTGTCTCTGTCAAATAAATAAAAGCTTAAAAAAAAAAAAAGGAATGACTTTACAAGCAGTGAAAGCAATGAATGCAAGTAATGTCCACATTTTTGGAGCACCTATCACACAGCATAGAGCTTTATAGGCCTTATGTTACTTCTATATGATAAGTATCCCCATTTTACAGGTGAGGAAACTGAGGCTTAGGTCTTGTGCCCAGGATCACACAAGTCTAAGTGTCCAGACTGAGGTTTAAATCCAAGCCACCTGACTTCAAAGCCTGTACCACCAATCACCACACTGTTAGAGGTGAGATCCTCAAGCAGAGAGAGGGTTACAGCAGATAGCATGTGCAAAGACCCACAAACAGTAAAACTCTGGTTGACAAGAGCTATAATGAGCATGGCCTTGCCACTTCAGAGCCATAACCTAAGGAGCCCTAAAGTTCTCACTGTCTTTTATGACCTGACAGTGTAGCACTGAACTCTGGGTCGAAGATGATTATAACAGTAACTACCATTTGTCCAGTGCCTTCCCATTTGCTGGGAACTATGTGTAACTCTCTAAGTTATACCACCTAATTCTTACAACAGCTCTATGAAGTGGGTATTATCTTCCTGGTTCTATAGGTGAACTTAAGAGCTGTGGTTCTCAGCTGTGGCTATGCAGAGAATAACCTGGGGGACGTTAGAATCTGTGCCTGTTTCTGCTCCAGACCAACCCAAGCTGGGGCAGGGAGAGAAATAACTTAAGCATTGGGTTTTGTTGTTGTCGATGTAGGCTCCAGGCCCAGTGTAGATTCCAACACAGGGCCTGAAGCCAGGACCCTGAGATCAAGACCTGAACTGAGATCAAGAGTCAAACACTCAACCGCCCCAAGCATTGGTATTTTTGAAAAGCTCCTCAGGTGGCCCTACTGTGCAGCTGAGGTTAAGAATCACTGGCT